ACAGGGGATTTGAAACCACGGATACAAACATGGCAATGAGCTACAGCCCTCAGCAATAAGTCACATAAACAAAAAGCTAGCAGAACAAAGGATTTTGCAGGAGGAGATGTCAAGACCAGCATTTGAGAAGTATGTGCCCCAAAATTCAGAGGAGACAAAGACCCATGAGACAACACCCACGCCACACCAAGCTCGAAATTGGCCACTTCACTCGAATCAGGGTCGCATTTGTTTCAAGCCAAATTGATGGAGTTAAAGTTTAAAAGTGAAATGTGAATTAAGTTGAAGCTAGAGTGGGTGCTAAAGAAGGTGTATGGCATGCGTCGGTCGGGTAACTGAGTACAAGAGTCGGGATGCCATGTTGCAGCTTTGTAAGACTTTGGTCAGGCCACACTCAGTGTATTGCGTTCAGTTGTGATCGCCACATTGCAGGAAGGATGTGGAGGCTTCGGAGAGGGTGCAGAAGAGGTTTACCAGGATGCTGCCTGGGTTAGAGGGTATGAGCTATAAGCAGAGGCTAGAAAAACTCAGGCTGTTTTCTCTGGAGCGGCAGAGGCTGAGGGGAGACTTGATAGAAGTCTACAAAATTATGGGATGCATAGATAAGATTGACGGTGAGAATCGTTTTCCCAGAGTTGAAATGTCTAAAACTACAGGGTGTGTATTTAAGGCAAGAGGGGGAAGGTTCAAAGGAGATGTGAGGGGCAAGTTTTTTATACAGAGAGCTGTAGGAGTCTGGAATGCGCTGCCAGGGGTGGGTGGTGGGGGCAGACACGATAGGGATGTTTAAGAGACTTTTAGATAAGTGCATGAATTTGCAAGGAATGGAGGGATGTGGAGCAAGGGCTGGCAGAAGGGATTAGTTTAATTTGGCATCATGTTCAGCACAACATTGTGGGCCGAAGGGCCTGTTCCTGTGCCATACAGTTCTACATTCTATATTCTAAAGTGAAGTTAAATAAAATGAGTTAAAGACGAAGTTGGAGGAAATAAAAAGTAAATGTTGCCAAGAATGTATGTTTTAGGTTGACAATATACTGTGGGCACTGGAGATCTGAAATAAGCAAGGAGATTGCTGGAGAAACTCAGCAGGTCTGCCAGCATCTGTGAAGAGAGAAACAGAATTAACGTTTCGAGTCTACTGACCCTTCCTCAGTTCTGGACTCAAAACGTTAACTCTGTTTTGCTCTCTCTCTCTCTCTCTCCACAGATGTTGGCAGACCTGCTGAATTTCTAGAGCATTCCCTGTGTTTGTTTCATGCCTCGATCTCTTGCCCACTGTCACAAAGCATTACACTCTGAAAGAACCTAAATTCTACACATGACCTACTCTCAAAAACCATTAAAATTCAGCTTACGATAGTTGCTGAGATCATAGAATCCTGTCAGTGTGGGAGTAGGCCATTCAGCCCAGAGAGACCACACCAACAACCCTGCGTTGCCCATGGCTGCGCATCCCTGGGCAATTTAGCATGGCCAATGCACCCTAACCTGCACGTCATTGGGCTGTGGGAGGAAACCGGAGCACCCACATACAGACATAGGGAGGGTATGCAAACTCCACACAGACAGTTGCCTGAGGGTAGGATTGAACCCAGGACCCTGGCGCTGTGAGGCAGCAGTGCTAACCACTGTATCACCCCAAATACCAACAGCCAACACAACATTATAACTACTTTGAGTGTGGTACCCAGGAATGTTGCTGTTTTGGGCTCCACAAACCTCCCAGAGGTCTCTATCCTGCCATAGCCAGTTTTTTTTTTGCCCCTAGTTAAATTAATTAAACAGAAACCTTCAAAGAAAATGGAATTAAAGAAACTTTACGTCTTCATGTCCCCTAGATTGCTCCTCCCAGTTCCTGCCTACTGCACTGTCCTGGAGAGGTTCAGACAATCCCAGAGGAGCTGGAAAATATCCAAAGGATGGAGATTGCACCAACAGATGCATCAATTTGAAACGTCTTCTGATGGCGTGGGCGGGCACTGCATCATTTTATTCCAAAGAACTGACTGCCCTGCCGCCCATCTCTCACCTAACCTGCCCTTTGCTTCTGTGCAGCCTTTCCCACGGAGGCTATTCGACTGCTAAAGGCGCCGGGCTCTTCCCTGCCTTGTGGACACACTGTGTCAAGGGACACAGCGTCCGCTGACAGCACCCATCTCGCTAAAAACTTTTCCGAACGCACGATGGGATGAACTCTGACGGCTGATTGCGTCTCCAAAGGATACTCGCAGTTACATGATGAACATTCTGACACAAATGCACCAGCTCTCTATAAAGGCCCAGCAAATGCTGATCCCTGACACACCTCCTCTAGGTTCTAGAGTAACGAGGCCAAATTCACTTCTCCGACCGCCTGGACCGAGTGAGCGAGCCTGGGATAAAACTCGGATCTTCCGTGTTAATTTCGGAAAGCGATGAAACTCGTTCTCGCTAAAACCGAACACACCGATTGGCAGGAACAGCTGAGTGAGCAGGCAAACGTCGGCCAGCTCGAGTACAACGTCGGACATGTGAAATCGTTCGCTTCAGCAAGAAGAATTTGAAAACGCAACCTTGCCTACGTGGGTAACAACTGTGGAATTCCAAAACGCCGAGGGATCTGGCTATTTTATTGAACGAGGCAGTCCATATACAAATGCAGCCAGATCTGGACAAGAGCCAGGCTTGGGTTGACAAGTAGCAAATGACAGGCAATGACCATCCCCAGGAAAGGGAATCTAACTGTCATCTCTTGGTATCATCATCACTGAATCCCACACTATCACCATCCTGGGGGTTACCATTGACAAGAAACTGAACTGGACTCACCACATAAGCACAGTGGCTATAAGAGCAGGTCAGAGGCTGTGATCATAGAATCTAACAGCGTGGAAACAGGCCATCCACCACACCAAGCCCACACCGCCCCTCTGAAGAGCAACCCACCCTAACACATTCCCCTACCCCTGCATTTTCCCATGTCTAAGCCACCCAGCCTGCACACTATGGAGCAATTTAGCATGGCCGATCCACCCCTAACCTGCACATCTTCAGACTGTGGGAGGAAACTCACGCAGGCACAGGGAGAACGTACAAACGCCACACAGACAGTCACCCGAGGGTGGGATCAAACCCGGGTCCCTGGCGCCATGAGGCAGCAGCGCTAACCAGCTGGGGCACTGGGTCAAACTGCCTCAAGGCATTGTGGGTCTACCCACACCATGTGAGCTGCAGTGGGTCAAGAAGGCAGTCAGCACCACCTTCTGAGAATCACTGCAGTGTCACACTGCAGAAGGAGGTCATTCAACCCATCAGTTCCACAACAGCAAATGAGCATCCAGTGCCAGTCTCCTACCTTTTCCTTAATCCTTTGCACATTCTTTATTTCTAAATAACCATCCAATGTCCTCTTGAACACCTCAATACAATTTCCAGGTGGTGCATTCCACCCCCTAACCCCACTCGCTCAGAGAAAACGTTTTCTCTCACATCACAATTTGCTCTTTTTAGCAATCAATTTATATCTACGCCCTCTGCTTCTTGTTTGTGTTTATACAATTCTTCTGGATCTATTCTATCCAGCCAGCTCGTGATTTTGAAAATCTTCTCCTAGCGTCCTTCTCTCCAAGGAGAACAGTCCAATGTCTTCAAACAATCTTCATCACTGACATTCCACATCCCAAGAACTGTTCTTCGCTACTCTCTCCATATGATCTCAAGAACAAACAATACTGGCCAAAACACCAAGCCCAACTTCTCATGAATAAATGTCACAAAAAGTTACTATGGAATTGACAGAATGCCGCCTGAGTGAGAGGGTGTGAGCGATAAGGAGGGGCTGGGCTAACTCAGGTTGTTTTCTCTGGAGAGGGGAGACTCGATAGAAGTCTATACAATTACGAGAGGCATACACAGGGCTGAAGGTCAGAATATTTTTTCCCACATTTCAAATATCCCTGACAGTGTGGTGCTCCCTCAGCACCGACCCTCTGCCAGTGCGGCGCTCCCTCAGCACTAACGCTCCCATAGTGCGGCGCTCCCTCAGCACTGACCCTCCGACAGTGCGGCGCTCCCTCAGCACTGACCCTGTGACAGTGCGGTGCTCCCTCAGCACTGATCCTCCAACAGCGCTCCCTCAGCACTGACCCTCCTGACACACCGAAGGTCAGTACTGAGGGAGTGCCGCACTGTCGGAGGGTCAGTATTGAGG